CTTGGGGCGTGGTATTAGGGGTTGGTAGGAGCCACGCGTGACCCTAAGGCTAGGGTGCCTGGGGAGCACCCGTCGTACAGGGAGACCCCCCAGGGGGGTCCAGGAGAGCACGGGGACCATGGGGACGGAGGTCCCGATTAGCCGTGCCCAAGGAGGTGTAAGGCAGCCTCCCAAACTTACTGAACATCAAAGACGTGGCGGGCGAGAATAAGAGGGTGCCCTTGGGCCGGATTTGACACGGTGAGAGGGACCTCAGGGAGATCACGGCCCTCCTGTGGGACCCCGCCGTGACAGATGGATTTTCATATTAGTGTTCTGGTTACTCACAAAATTCGGTAGTTGACTTTCATTCCTCCCCATATTCTCAATGGTATCAGTGCATTTTAATACATTAATAAAGATAAATTTAATCAATGGCCTACATGTGGCATGTTTACACTAGCATAACGAAGAAGTAGACACACGCCATACAGACCATTTCAAAGAGAAGTAAGGCTGGAAGGGACCTCAAGAGGTCATCTAGTCCAACCTGGGATTGAACCTGGTTCCTTGGTGTTATTAGCACCACAGCTAACCATAACACTTGGTATAATTTACCAGAATCCGATATAGAATCATAGGAAAGTAGAGCTGGAAGGGAGGTCATTTAGTCTAGCCCCTTGCTCAAACAGGGTCATCCCTGACTAAACCATCCCAGTCAGGTATCAAACCTGCTCTTGAAAATTTCCAGGGGTGGAGATTCCATATTTACCCTAACAAAAAAAACCGCAGTAAAGATACACTAGTGTAACTTACCTGTGCCCTGAGTTATCCTGGGGTAGCTCACTTTATGAGATACTACCTGATCCAGCTCTCTGATGCTATTAATTATCAGAAGCTTCCTGACAAAGTGAGCTCAGACTCACAAAAACCCACGCATCTCTGATTTAGTTAGTCAGTAAGGTGCATCTCTACCCTGCCTTCTCCAGGAAAGTTAGTATTTGTCCATTTCAGGTGCCTGTATATCATACACAAGTGCACAAAACCACTGTAAATAACACAGAGGAAACGAGCTGTCAACATTTTGCAATTGTTTTCTTTCAGGAGTAAACTACCCCAGTTTCGTTTTTACTTACCAGAAGGCAGAGTAGGCACATGAAGCAGTTACCACAGAGAAACCAATGAACAATAAAGGGTTAGAGGCATAATTTGTGTAAGTCAGTGTAATTTGTTTTTTATAACTTGGTATAATTTGTCTATCTGTTCACACCCATCACCAGTACTTTACCTTCTGTTTATTGAAGTTTTGCCATGTTAAATCTAATTTAGATCTTATCCTAAAAAGACTTAAGCTCTCTGCTTTAATCACATGAGCGGTTCCACTGAAGGCCAGTGAGTCTACACAAGTCCATGCAAGACTGGCCTTGCATGTTGTAAATGCTTTGCAGCAGGAACCTACCTTCTGGTTTTATTTTTCTGGAATGTGTAGAAGGCACTCTGTTATTGACAATTAAGGGAAATAGATGTTCTGCAAGATGTTATGGGTGAACACAGGTATTAAAATAAAAATATGCACATTTCAATTTAACATCTGTTCCAATGAACATCAAAAAATGAAAATGGAGGTAACTCTGCAGTGGATAGATGAGCCAAAAAGTAACTATTACAGCTACATCATTCACTCCTTGGAATGGGGAAAATTGTTGATTTTTGCTTTGTTCTTCTTTGATTCTGCTCTTAAAAGTCAAGGAAATCTTTGGATGGAGGAGGAAGAGACGGGTCTAAAGAAAACCAACAGTTTTGGAAGTTACAGTCTTTATTTATGTTTTTTACAATGCAACAGACAAACACTTGCCAAGCCCTGGCCTTATTACTCATACAGGGTGGAATTTAAAATGTCATTCCAGCTTAAAACAACACTGAAAACTGAGCCTTTTGAATGGAGGCCAAAGTATTTAGATAAGTCAAATATGTACAGATCATAAATTTGTACAACCGCAAATGGATTTTTACCATATTTTTAAACACTGTTTAAGGAAATCAAGAGACTTGATGATCAGAGGCCCAATGGACACTAAGGGAATTTTGCTACTGACTTCAGTGGGTGCAAAACCAGGCCCAGGAGAAGCACTTGCTCAGTTGAGCTTTTGTACATTGTATGAATTTAGATCACAGTCTTTCAGTGTGCTGGAAGAACTAAATCCAACTGAATCTACCACTGAATCCATCGGCAGTAGAGACTGGGCAGCACCTGGTCTGATATTTTATTCCAATATTATTTTCTTACACAGTTTAAATTCCCTTTAACGGGAGGAGGGGTGTTGTCCATGGAAGTGGTTCACCACCACAACAAGAGGTTAAAAAATAAACAGGTTGGTCTAGTTTCTTGCAATGCCCCAACTTCAAAATTAACTGTAACATTTAGAGCTCTGGAAACCACATTCAGTAGTAAGTAAATTTTCATATGAAATAGCTTCAGGAATGCTATAGATAGATTTTAAGAAAAATCCAGGAGTCAGGGCTCAATCCTGTACGCCTTATGCAGCGGGGTAGGTCTTTGTACACAACCCCAGTGATTTCGACAGGGTAAATGCATCAGGAAGGAATGCTTGTTGGGATAAGCTGAGCACCCACTGTTATATGCAAGTAATATAATATATACATAGTATACAATAGTATAATAGATTACACATATAATAATGTGTAGTATTATACATTAGATTACAGAATAATATAATATACATATGATCATAACAATGTTGTTGGCATAAGATAATGCCATTATTGTACTTTATGCCAGTTTTCTCTGACCTAGAGCCCCTGTCTCTATGAAAAACAATTTATCATACAACCCAAGGAAACACACAATCAACAGAAGCTGCTACTTTGTTTTGAAAACACTTGCTTTTTCTGCGCTTTCATTGTATCATTGCTAACACATATTGCTGATTCTGAGCCATTAGATCAGAACCTTCCCAGACTTCGGGGTGTTCGGACGTGAGGTTCTGGTTTGGCTTGTCTCAATCAATTCTGCAAGTTAAGTGCGTTATCACTGCTCAGGGTAGAGCCTGCTCTTCCTGCCTAGTTTATTCAGTGATGCCACTGTGACATCAGAATCACATCCATGGGAATGAATTGAGACACTAGGCTGCACAATTACCAACAGTCCAAACCTGCAAACCTAGCACACATGTGGTCCCATGCAGCAATGGAACAGTTTGTAGGTATATGTACTGCTTCCTTAGGTCTGCAGCAGAAAGCCAGGCAGAAGGTCATTAGAGATAACTGTAGGCAGAAGCGCTACAGGGAAAGCAGAAGGAGAAACAAAACAGCTTTGTGGATAACAGTTTTCCTTAATCTAACAAAAACTGTTTCCCTCATTTTAAGGATGTTCATTGGTCAGTGTTAGAAGTAACTTTTCTGGTGCTTCTTTATTATTGGCACAAGAAATGCAAAAAATGTGTAGCAGTTAATGAGATTTTGAAAAATAAATAAGATCTGAAGTTTGCCTGCATGTGGCAGTACTTTTTAATGAGTATAACTTTAGGTATGTAAATAAATACTCCTCTAGATGCCATCTGCCTAATGTGCAAATTAAGAGAGGCAGAGGGTAAGTGCTTCTCTGCAAATTTCCTCCTGTCTACAGTACAATATTTGTTGTATGTTATCTTCTTTAGGCAGCAAATGATCATTATTTCCAGGATGTGCTGAGGGAAACAATGGAGAGTTTGTTTTAGATAATGATGTGCAGCAGCCATTATTACTTGTGACTTTCAAAAACTGAACTTGCAGGTTCAGAAATATCAAGCATATCCCCAAAAAAACATCTTTTGTCTCTCCAGATTTTTGCCAGCCTCTGAGGCATGTAATTCAGAAAATAAGACATGTTTTCTTGAACTTTGTGCCCCAGGAGTTAAGTACAAATCTGTTTACCTGAGTGGATCGAAATTTTATTCCATCACAGCTGTAGCACATTAAACAAACACAGCAACCTATTCCTGATGTATTGGAGGTTGTGTGACCGTAAGTCAGAGGCTTTAAACTCTTTCAAGCAACTGAGTGGGAAACACCTCTACTTATTACAAAACTTTTCTCTTATCAGCTTAGTGCTCTGGTTATCAAACTGTTAAAAAAGGGCTCTGGTTGTGGTGTTTCTTCAAGATTTTGTCTGGTACATAAAGTGAAAATTTATGCAACTGAAACAGAAAACCTGTCATCCTTAGAGAGGTGTTCACTGATATTTTGGCAAGGTGCAAATGACTTTAATTCTTTCTTATGAGAAAGGAAATGGTATAGAACCAATCAAAAGCTGAGGTCATGTAGGTTCATGACTTAGAAACACTTTCATAGACCCTAACGAATACATAGAACTTTGTGCTACATCTTAGTGCCTATATTTCTTGAAGAAATTAAGCAAAGATAACCTCTAGGACCCATCTGGGGAATTTATGTTCCAGTGCACTTCTTTCACTCTGGCCCTGATTCAGCAAAGCACTTAGCATATGCTTATGATTAGTAGAGCAAAATAATGAGATTGGCTTAAAAAATCATGAAATTGTATATATGATTTGGAGTTCTTTTATTTGCCTTGGGTTTCTTAAGGCTGTAAGGATCAGGCTTTTTTCCACAATCTTTGGAACTGAGAACTGGGAATCACTAAAGCCCTAAATACCCTACTAGCACATCCAGCAATCCTCAGCATAGGTTGAAGGGTCCAAACTAACAGAGCCTATTCTAACTATGGGACCTGAAGGCAGTAGTAATTCAGTAGGACAAGCTGCAGGTTAAAATTTAGATGAAAGCCATTATTATAATAAATTATGGAGTTGTTATGCCTGTTGTTATAGCAGGCAGGACACTTCTGTCATGGACCAGGACTCCACTGTGCTAGGCACTGCACAAACAGAACAGATTGATATCCATGGCCCCGAAGACCTAGCAACCCATACATAAGACAAGAGGCGATGGGTGGATGCAGAGAAGTGAGACACTTTTGGCCAGCATGCTAGGCCCCGGTGCCAGTACACCAGCAATCTATTGCTGTCAAGTTTCTGACATCAGAGCAAAGGAGAGTTGTGAAGGGGGACTGGATGTATTGTTGCAGAGGTCCCTGGTCAGCACTTCATGTTTAAAGAGAACAAGGGTGTTCTTTCTCCTAACTACTTTAAAAATAAACACTTCAGAAATGTGAATTTTCTCCTTCATGAGTTTTAAAGTGCTATTCAAAGGAAGGTTTGTTTTCCATGGATTTATAGAGGAACATCTGGACTTAAAAAATCTTTTCATCCTTTGCACATCATTTTAACGCTTCCCCCCGATACTGGTTTTGTCTTCTTGCTAAGATTTATTAGCTCCTAAGTAATTACTTTGTCTCTCTCCTAGGTGTATTCACTGCTTGGGTCAACATTTTCAAGAAGCCCTAGCCCTCTGAAAAACGTGATAATCAACATTTTCTGATCATTTATTTCCTGTGCTTCCTTTCCTTGTTTCCTCTGCAATGACTGCCAATGGTTTTGTGTGTTCTGCAGGTATATGCAAGCGCTGAGTATCTTGCTTCTTTACTTTGATTATCTGGGGGTGGATAATCTCTCTTTTTAATTTAAAACTGATCTCTAATCATTGTTTTGAGTTGAGCACAAGAGAAGGACAGTCAGTAGAGAGGAATCTCAGCTACAGGCCAGACTGCTGCTTATGCTTTCACCTGGAAAAAGCATCCAAGACATACAAAGATACTGCCACAGATCTCCCCATTCCATAAAATATGCACAGGAATGGAGAAAGGCCATATACATCTCCTCAAACTGTAATACAGGGTTCTCGCAATATTCTCTTTATGCAGCAGATATTTAGGAGCCCTGCAGCATGTGTGTGTGATGTGCCTGCCCCTCCACCCTGCTGCTCAGACTCCCTCTCCCTCCGTCCCTACTCCTTCAACAGGCATGCTGCTACTGGCTTCCTCCCTTCTGTCTGGGCACTAAAGATCATGGCAGGAGAACTAGTGCTGTTTCCACCTGTGTTAACTTTTGCATACATTTATTCCTGCTGGGTATGGAGGGGAACATGCTGCATACAGCAGCCACATATAGCCAAAGGCCTTCTAGGCCCACAGAGCTCCAGCTGTGTGTGAGCAAGGACTTTAGCAGACTGGCAGCTGAGAAAGAGAACAGGCCTATTGGCTTAATTAACTCTCAACCCTCTTTGGTTTGGACACTCCTGGCTGCTTTCCCAGCAAAAAAGAACTAGTCATGGACCAAAGGATTCAAGCAAACGACAGAAGGCCCAAAACAAAGACACTACACTGATATTGTTAGGCTAGATCTACATTCAACTCTATCGGCACCGTGACATTTACTTTGTTTTCTTGATGTCCTAGAGAACAGACAGCACAGTAAGCACCGGCTCTGGCTGCAACACACCCGTCTTTCCCAATTAAGCAAAGCAAAGACTGCAGGTGGTCATCTGGCCTCCACCCATCACCAACAAACCCAGCTGCTGCGAACAAGCACTGAGCACAGCGCTCACTTCCTAATCCTCAGAATAAAAGGGGTCCTATTTAATTTTCATAGAAACCAGTGGCAAGGTCCTCCTGACTTTGATGCTCAGAACAAGCCCACCCAAAGAACAAAACATGATCTCAGACCAGAACAAGAGTCATTTTAAAGCTTCAGCAATTCTTTAATAAACTGTAGATGATAAATATCAGTATTAAATCCAGCCAATTTTTTTTTTTTTAATTCAGGCAAATATAGAAACAAAACTCCAACAGTGGAGTAATACATGGGAATTGCATGTTCTTACATATTTACAAAGGAGATGATATACAACAATTCTTATAACTTATCAGCAGTACTATCAATATGGTGTTCATATATGTTAAGTCTCAAACAATCTGGCTAGAGACACTAGCTTACTGACTGGTCAACATGCGTATATTAGCTGGAACTGCTTTCACTTCTTTATAATACAAGAAAATAAGAAATAAACCATATCTAGATTATGTTTGGTCTATTAATATACTTGCAATACTGGTTTGGTCCCTGAGTATTCTTTTATACATGCTCACCCTACAATTAACTTTATTTACTATAGCATCCACTTCCCCCCACTATTTACCCAGTCCAATTTCTCTCCCTTTTGGGCCCTAAATGATCTTTACTTTTGTACCCTTTGGTAAATTGTAGAGATTCACTCTAATCCTCAAATGGAAAGAACTATTTAATCTCTCCACACCTTCCTGTAAACTCCTTCCTGGGAGGTCCATTACTCCCACCCTAGGGGAGTTATGGCACTTATAGTTTATAGTTATAGTTTATAATTATAGCTTTTTTCTGGAAGGAGCTGTGCAGAGCCCAGCCCTGCACATATTTAGGCCCTAATTCACAAAAACATTCATCACAGCTCTTGAGTCAATGTGTATCTCCAAACATATGCTTAAGTCCCACTTGAAGCACAAGCGTGTCCTTAAGAATGGCTCTGGGACTCCTCATGTGTGTAATGTTCTGCACATACTTTATTATGTTGCTGAATCAAATCTGGCTTTTTTGCAAGATGAGGACCACAGCAGGACTCTCACAAAGAGCTTCAGAGAAATGTTGTGCTGTTAGATTTTAGAAGTGGAAGTTGGGGAGTTTGAAGGTTGGGATACAGACAATGGAGGAACAAATTTAAATAATGTAAATATCCTTGAACAGCATGCTTGCAGTTGATTAAATGCACACCCAAGGACCGTCTGACAAATCCTATTTATGCATTTCTGCTTTTTTAAACCTGCTAAGCAAGCTGTCCAAGATCAGGCAGTTAATTTTCACATAATCCCAAGGTATTTCCCTCTAGTACTTTAACCTGGAAGCGGTTAAATGAATCAGGAGCACAATCCAAATAAATGACAGGAAGTGTCCAAAGTTCTGAAAACTGAAAGTAAGTGATAAATCCTTCCAGGGTCTTCTCTTCCTAGTGTAGTGACACAGAAGTGAGAAGTTTTAGTACAATTCAGAAACACTCCCTGATCTACAGCCAGCCAATCAAATCCACTTAAAATGACCAGCACTTTGAAGCAAACCCACTCAGAAGGTAATAAATACTTGAACAACAGCTACTTGATGTGTCTGGCGCTAGCTGCAGGCTATTTTGCACCCCTTAAAATTTAACATTTTGATTTTCTCTGGACCTTCTGTTTCCACCTTTGCTTTAAATTCAGGAATATCAATTGTCCCACTTCAGCGGTTAGTTTTAGAAATCAAATCAATAAATCTTAGGTCCTGATTCAGGAAGCTGTTAAGCATACATAGAGATCTCGGCATGCTTCAAGCACCACGTGCTTAAATATCATTCTGAACTGGGGCCTAAATTTCTTAGAACTTTCTATTCATACCATGTTTGCTCTGTCAGAGCCTATAGGTAGCAGAGCCCAGCAGCCTTGTCAGAGCCAAACCTGAACTCTACAAAAATTAGAAAAGTTCTTCTCCCAGCTGGCTGATGTGGTGCTGATTCAATGCTGCCATCACTAATCTGCACAAAGGAAGAGAGGGGAAGCAAGTAGAGATGCAGGAAGTTTTACTCAGACAAATACTGAGAGAGGAATGCCTGATGATGGTATTTTCCATAAAGAACTTCAGCCCACACTTGTGCACCAAAAATCAGTGCCAACTTCAAAAATAGCTTTGGGCATGTATACTGTAGCATTTGAGTTTGCTTGGTCTAAAGAAAGGGAAAGAAGAAACAGGGAAGAGAAGTAGATTTCTGCCCCTATGCAGAGTGCAGTGCTGAGGTATTCAGCTGGAAGGACTCAAAACTATCTAGAAACAGGATGGGGCAGTTACCAGACACCCTCTGTAGCTGTTTTTGAAGCTCTGTAAGAAATTTTCATACTAAGCAATGTGTCTGGCAAGTCACACCTAATCACCCCTGGAGGAGAGGAGTTTGGAAGAAGAGTTACAAACAGGAGTTAAAGCCTTGTAGATTCAGCAGTTGATCAATGCAGGATTAAGATGGGGCTGCTGTAGGGCTGGGTCCCAAAACTGCACCACTTTGAATACAGAGTATAGAATTCTGTTTCTCAAACAACTGAAAAGACCATTCAAACAATTACCCGCCTGGCTAGAAATGGTGCTAGCTGGGGAAGTCCCATTCTGCAGGTGGTGACAGTAACCTCTTTTGCTTGGAGAGGTTGTGTTTCACTGTCAGTAGAAAGACAGGGTTCTGCTGCTACAGAGCAGGTTTGAGCGTGAACATAAAAAATTATGTAATGTAGAAAGGAACGTAATAGTTGCATGCAGTGATGCCTCAGTATTCCCCTGCCCTGTTACACATGCAAGGAGCAATTCAAGAGATAGTGATTTGGATATTGGTTAATTAGTTAATAGACCTTCAAAACATAAAGACTACGCCTCTTTACAAAGGGATGGAACATAGTATAAGGGGCTCTGGGACACGTCCTGAGTAAGGGACAACGTATAATTGCACTGTGGGAGAAGCATGCCTAGGATAGAATTGTGATTTGCAGGTACACAAACAGTCCCTATTTTTATCCTTTCCTCTAGTGGGATAAGAAAGTGGCACCAACTCATTCCTTAGCCAGCCTAACTTTTCCAACCATGTCTGCTCAGATGGGTTGGCCAGGATGTCTGGAGGGCCAAGGCTGTCCCTGATCATTTTGTACTGACCTGTGCCAGGCAAGAAGTGCATTGTGACAGCTCTTTTCCCTTCCCACTTGGAGACTTTAAGATTGTCTGGAAAATAGGATTTCATTTATACATCCCTCAGAGTTGTCCTTCTGATTACATTTACATACTAATTTGATGTATATATGCTACACATGTGGAATAAATATAGTACATTGTACATACATTCATTTAATAATCTGTGCCTAGATAGGGCTGCATAGAAGTAGTAAAATAGAAGAAGTTAAACTGCATCATTGTCAAATATACGGGCAGTTATCTGTATATTGTGGCCCAAGTACCAGAAATTTCATAAATAATTTGAACTAAAAATGGGCATCTTTTCAAAGCACTAAGGTACATTGCTGCTTCCCTGCTGCACAGCTCAGAAAGCTGGCTCTAGAAACCCTGGATAATTTTAAAGAGCAAATCTTGTGTTGCTCAGCAACAGCACACCCTGATATAAAGAATGCAGACTCCTGGAAGACTTAATATCAGGGAGCTGCAATTGAACGGAGAAAAAGAAAGAACAAACACAATTTATTCCTACAAGGTCTATAAAATTGAAATCGAGTAAAAAGCAATCAAATGAAGTGATCACACTAATAATATCTTTATATAATAGAGCTTAGTAAAAAAGCCATTGCTCAGAACCAGTGAACTACCATCATAGTACTCTAAATGGCACTGTTTGCAGCATCTTGATACAACAGAACTAAATTTTATTAGGGAGCAAAATCCTCATGGGGCTAGCCACTGAAATCCTGGGGGAGTTTTTATCTCACTGTCACCTCAACAGGCATTTGCCAGAATGAGGATTGCATTAGAACTAAGAATCTCCTGGTTCCCTCTGCAAGGGAAGCAGACCTGTGGCCTCAGAAGGTGACACATGCTTTCACCTCGGTCCCACAGAAACAGCTCCACATGGATTCCTGAGGTCAGACTGTGAAGAAGTAAAGGAGAGCAATGAGCAAGCTGCTTTCATCCATAGTTATCCTTGCTATGATGCATAAAAGAAACCATGCCTGTTAAGAAAGCCTCATGCTGCATTGACTTACCTCTGTTTCCCCCTCTGCACTATGAAACCCCGCCCACCAGCTGCATTCAGGGAAGCCCTGGAAGTCCAGTTCCTCCTGTGTGCGCGCTCTGCAGGGACCAGTGTGGTAGAGTGGATGAATGGAGCATCACTGAGAATATTGCATGCCCCAATCTGGAGAAAAGGAGTATGACACAAGGTGGGAAAGGAGCCCTAAGTAAAGCCTTCCTTTTAGATATTACACCAGTCTGATGCCTGATGAATGATTTAAAACTCCAACCCAATAAAACCTCCCGTATCCAAAGCTGATTTACATCTGATGTCCTAGAAAAACTATAAATGGCTGAGTTTCTAGAAAACAGTTGGACCTAACTGAAATAGATCTGATCCAAAGTCACAGAATGGACTCCCACTTGCTTCAATGCCTCCTGGACTGGGCCAGTACTAGGATGGAGAGAGAATCTGCAAAATTCAAAAAGCCTCCAGCTTATCCTCTTCCAAATCCTTCCTCAAAAGCTATTTCTGCTCTGATAGCTCCAAATAAGTGCCCTCTGGCACTGGCATCCATGTTGTGTGTGACAGCAGAGGTTACTAATTTATGCAAACGTTCCTGTCCTTTCTGCTCCTCTGCTTCTCCCGCCTGTTTGCCCGTTCCTCCACCTGTTCGGTCTTGGTCTAACTTTAGCTCTGTTGAGTTGGGATTGCCTTTGTTTTCAGAGCACCTGGCACAATGGGGACCCATACACAGTGGGAGACACCAGGCACGCTACAATATAATTAAGCAAATCTAGCATACAATGGGCCAAATGGTCAGTTGGTGTAAAGCAACCCAGCTCCTTTGCTTTACGCTGTCTCTGGTGATCTGGCTCAGAGCTCTGACCTAGAAGATGTCTGTTTTATCAGGTTTGAAGCAGGTATAAGCCTCCACCTTTCGCTGACAATGCAAAGCACTTTGTGGGATAACCAGTCCAGGCAAACTTCATAGCATCTGCAGCACTTCCTTAAGCTAATGTCTTTTCTCTGCTTCCCATTTATCTAAAGGAATTCTCTGTCTCCAGTTCTGCTCAGATAAATGGTGCTGAACTGTATTTAGATCCGACCTTTTCAAAGCCTATCACAGAGTTCACTCAAGCTGCATTTATCTTTAGGAAATACAGACCTGTATGGTATTTACAAGATATAAAGCCAGGCGCAGGTTCACACTGATACAAGTTATACCACATCTGCTGCACTGCAAAAGGAATTCACACAGCCCAGGGGAGATGGGGTTTGAAACTCCTCTC